AAGGAGCGGCACAATGATGACATAATGCACACGTTTTAATTTTAGGTATGATCCTCAGCATTTTATTAGAGGAATAATTTCATAAAGTCCAATGCTGTAAAATGCTAGTTTTCCCATTAAAAAAATGTTGAACTCTAACATATTAGATTGTTTTCAGCATTTTGTCCAGAAAGTTTTGGTTGAACAACTTGTAAGGTTGTGGCTTGTGGTGGCTGTAGTCTTTTTACATCCGAATATTTAGATATATATTCTGGATTCCTATCTTCCATATTAGAAAATTGAGCAAATACCTACAATGGTGCCAAAGGCACAGCAGACATGCATGCACACGAGCACACTTATAGACTGTGTAACCGTTACCATGATGAAGGATGAGGATTCACGGGAGGCCAGATGGTGACTTCCACATACGTATCACCTTAGCGGCTTTCGGCTGGATATTCCATTACTGATTCATATAGAAAAGATGTCAGAAAACACAATTGAATCAACAGCAGTTTTTTTCTTTGCCTGGAAGTGGTCCCAACCTTGAGGGATGTAGCGTTTTTGCCGGTCAAGTTAGAATGTCTTTACCATTTGACTGCATTCATTCACTTGTGGGATTGAGGCACCTTGATGCGGGGTGGGGGGGTGGGGGGATTCAAGTGTATCACGGAGTCTTTTGTACTGTACATCAGTCATTAAAGCTAGGGTACTGTGGGATATGATCCGCATACTTTAGAATTTTTTTGAAGGGGAAATCATTAATTACAAATATACAGATGTTCATGGACCTATGCCAGCGACATACAGTGAAAGGCAGGACAATTAAGATGGTAAAATAACCCTGTGTATCCATTTCCATTCCAAAGAAATTGTGTCTCTGCATCCCAAGAGTATATCAGCTTGGTGTTCAATTAAATCAGCCCAAATTTCAGACTGAGGATGGCAATTTGTGAGTAAACTAAGAAGAGATCACCATTATTTCAGTATTCATTTCTGTGTTCCTTGAGATTTTTCTCATGTTAAACGGGTGGCTTGACTCAATAAAAGTTGTGCAGCACTGCTGTACATACTTCCCTCCACTTGTCGCCACACACTCTGCATGTTCAGAACACCCTAAGTCAGAATCCATTCAGTACATTTGCACATTGAAATGGTTCAACCTGTCAAGTGTGCCGATTTATGTTGTCTTGCTCCTGACAGTGAATACAAGATGAGGTCTTTGAGAAATTTTAAGCTGCACATACGCAGTAAGTAGTTTAACCACATATGTTTTTGGTCTTGACAGGCCCTTAAAGCGCTGAAAGAAAAAACACACCACCATGAAAGTCTTTATTTTATTGTTTCAAGTACAAAACATTTAAAAAACTGTGACGGTTGTGTTGAACAAACGTACAAATGTGAAGTTAGTGAGCTCAAGGATATCAAACATGCATTGTCTCTTAAACTAGTACTTCTGTTATGAAGAATCACACTTGGTATATTTTATATTAGGGTTAAATTGACCAAGGGATGAGGAAATTGAGGTAACCGAGACAGGGTCAGAATTCAAAGACGTTAGGTTGTTCATGAGCACCGCACAATTGAACGACAGTAACCGGAGCACCACAGCTAAATCTAAGGTATGAACATTCCAAGCTGCTCATTCATTTTAGACCTCGAAAGTAGCTTCACCACCATCGCCACGGTGACAAAGGTGTTATAGATTTCCAAACTGTTTTTTTAAAGCTACATGTTGCTTTAAAATCCTGGTTGTGTTTCTAGTCATGGACAAAGCTCACAGACCATGTGATGGCCACCTGTGTAAACGCTCGGAGTACCCGGTCGCTCTGAACTGCAGACGCCAGAGACCTGATTCAGTTTTAGCTTTTGGAAGTCCTGTGGGCACGCAGGTTCCGTTCTCAAACTAGCTTTAAGCTCTTCTTTCCTCCCTTTTGTGTGCTCTCATCATGCCGCATTGCCTCAAAAGTATCGTAGGTGCATCCACGGGGAGTGTGTCTATGGATGTCCACGTCAGGGGCTTCTGTGTATTGACACGGCATTAACATGAATGAAATTATTTTTGCTGTGTTCAGACAGCATGAAAGGAACACCCTGGGCATTTGGACGCGGCCTATCCAAACAAACACCAGACGTCAGCACTCAATCAAAGCGCCTTTTCACACTCACTAAAGCCTCAGATGACCCCAAAGCTGAAGAAGCTTTTGAAAAAAATCACTATGGAATTCATGAATGTGAACATTATGAAGCATTACACACTTGTGGTGCAAATCATCTCTTTGAGTGCTTGGTCGATTCATTACATTTATCGATTCATTGGAGTTTAAAGGACACTTGTTTTCAGTCCCGATGTTATAGAAGCAAGGTAGGTGCTGCAGGGTGACTGATTTTTCATTTCACATTGGCAGCTATTTCTTTTTTAAAAGTGCTAATAAATTGCTGATTTTTGCTGATTTTTAAAGAGCTAATATCGGCTGGCCAATTAATCGGTGTTTACTTATTTTGCATGTTTTGGTCGAAGGGATATTTTGCAATTACTTTTTTAAACATTATGTCTCAAGGAAAATCATTTATTTCCATTTCTGTGGAGGATGTTAACCTAATGCAATAATAGGGCGGTTGGGGGGTGGGGGCTTTCTGGGGGGAAGAAAAAGGTTCCAGAGCTTTTTTGGGCATTAAGAGAATTAGAGCAAATCCCAGAAAGGAAAAATAAAAGCCCCCCAAAAGCCCAACTTCATTTGAGAAATGTCATCACTATTTTCTTTTTCGAAGTGAATGAGGGGGAGGCGGGCGAAAGATGACATGAAAAAAAAATATATCAGATTTTTGTCAAAAGAAATGCATTTTAATTTTAACGCCATGTTGCCCGGCCCTATTTTCCACGATTGTTCCTGTGGGAGATATGTGCTACATGGGAGGCATCCAGCACTACAAGTCTGACACAAATCAAGGGGAGGGGAGGGAAGTGGAAACTGAGCAAGAGGGGATTACGAAGCAAAATGTGGGGAACCTGACTGTTGCCATCTATGGTAGAACGTCGACTGATTACATCTATTAGACTGGTAGAAATGAGTAAATGGATACTTCGCCCACTGGCCATGTACATTAGCCTTTTTAAATGGCTATTAATCTGGGCCAGGGGCTGAGGCAAAGGGGAAAAGAAAATCCCACAGAGCACCTTTCATCAGGTTGGAAGGTTAATGCACACGCTCAACAAAAATGCCTCGGCTCCAGACGGGCGATAGTGTGTCAGTCAGCCACATTCCCCTGACATTGAGCAGTTGTCTCGCCCAGACCAGCAGACGAGAGCCTATAATTGCAACAAGGCAGCGGCATAACCGAGTTTGTGTATGTTGCGAGCCCACAAAGTCCTTCTGTTCTCTGGGGAACAGGTGCAACGTGGGGAGTTGAAGCCACCAGATCCCCCACATTGGTGTGAGGGGCTGGGCTGCAGCTGCTTCAGCTAATGCAGTCAATTGCAATTTCATGATCCTGACTGCCACTCAATTTATACCGCTGTTGTAACTTAACACTCCAATGCACTGTATCCGCCTGCGTGTGTCTTCGGTGGTCACACTACTAAAGAAGTCATTGAAGCTATTGTTTTTGTATGATTTGGTTCAACATTGGCTGCCAGAGCCATGACCATAGACTGGAAAACATTTCAGCAGAGACATTATCCAAAACGAGTTGAGGGCGTTTTTCTCTCCTGAACAAATCCCTTAGATGTGTGCACGTGAGTTATTTGCATGACTTCATGCTGGTGTCACCACAAAGATATGCAAAAGAGATGTCAAGGGAAAACAGATGTCTTGGCGGGATGTCGTGGCTCTCCTAACTGGATGCCTGATTCCCCATCCCGCTGCCCCACCCCGCCGATGTTGGAGACAGGCTTATTTTCTTTGCCAACACTAAGTTTGTTTACATTTTCTTGGATAAAGTTAATGTTGTAAGGAAACAGCGCCATGTATTGATATAGTTTAATGAAAGATGTGTTGCTAAGTATCAATCCGGAAGAGAACAATTGGTGAAAAATGATTTTTTTTTTTTAAATCAAAACTGGAAATCAGAGAGTTTTAAAGGGCATATGATCCAGCCAGAACCAACAGCACTGCTAAAACACAGTGTGAGAGTTTATCTGAGACTAGTCACTCGCCTCAATTTAGGCGAATAGGGCAGGCATTCTTGTTAAAGGTGGATAAATTGATCTCATGTCTCATTTATCTTCTGAAGTCAAAACCCAAATGTTTTCAGTCTCCTGCAGAAATAAAAGAATTGGTCCAACACATTTGGATGGGCAGTGCAGTTAGAAATTCATCCGTCCGTCCGTACTACCATTATAATTAAAAAGATAGGGCAGCAAAAGTGATAATGAGCAAGAAAGCCTCACTGTTGGGTTTCTAAAACAAAAAAAAAAAAAGTCTTGAGCTGGGAAGAGAGAAAGAGAAAAAAAAATCAAGTGCGAGATCCTCGCCCCAAGACCACCTTCCACTTGAAATTCCACGCCAACTGTGCTACAGTGTCTTTGTGGCACCACATAGAGGACAACAAGGCAAAGTGTGCATAGCCACAATATTGGCTGAGGCCTGTGTTGACGTACTCAAGGCAGGAGTGTAAAAGGAAGTGGTGAAAGTGTGAGGTACACGGGAGAGGACAACCTGGAGGTGTTCCTCAAAGCACAGCTCCTCATCGGGACAAACGACCTCGCTGAAACCAGCTGCCCCCGAGCGACGAGGCACTCTACAAACAGTTGACACGGTTGCAGGCAGTTTCTCCAGCCTTTAAACAGCAAAGCAGTGATTACACAATGGCACGTGGCCAGATCGGTAGTGGTGCTGGCAATTATCTTTACTGACTCACTTTTGAGGTGAGGTTTGGGGATCCTCCCTTCCTGTTTGAGCAGAGCCTTACAGCTTCACAGCTTCACTTTATTGCCTTGTACATAGCGAGCGCACGCCAGGCGTGAGGCTCCCTACTCCTCCCCTCTCCTGCTCAGGCGTTCCTGCAGGGCTCCTGTCCAGAGATTGACTGACTCAGAGGACTCAAGTGGAAGAGACGCACTACAGCGCTTTCTGCCTGCTGGGAAAGACTAATGCAATGCGCTTTTATTGATCCGCTGTGTGGGATTCTCTCGTTATTTTTTATTTTTTTCTTGCTCCCTTTGGAATGGGAAAAAAGCGCATCCGATTCAACATTAAGGCAAACAAAGAGAAGGACCAACATATGGAGAGCAGTAGGCACTGCAGCATGAAGGCAACAACTGGACCTCTCTTCTCCCCGGTGACTAAAAGCAAGTGAGAAAATAATCGTCAGCGCTGTCCACCAAGCTTGTGGGTGGATGCGGCCAGCAGACTGCTATTACAGAGAAAGGAGACTGTGAGGAAGCAGCAGCGCAAGCTGTGATGATGATCCATAATTGGACCCTTACTTTCAAGAAGACTCATTTTTCTTAGTTTTCGCCCAGATCCTTTAGTAATCATTTTCCACTGATGCTCGGGGTTTAGCGTCCTTTGCAGGCTTTCTTTGTAGATGAATGTGGAGCTTGTTTCTTAAGAGGATGGAGAACTGCTTGAGGACCATCTTTTTGGCACTGATGATATTGTATTTGGTTCCGAACACAGTTTACACAGCCAACAGCGTTTATCCCAGAATACGGCTTTCACATAAAGGTAAGAAATGTGCAGTGTGTTGTCCAGTGCAATGGTTCCCAACCTTTTTATGGATCGCGTACCAACCACATTTTTTTCGGCATATTACGAGTACCCACGTACTCATACTGTAAGTGTTGATGATTCTCCAAAAGTAGACCATTTTTATATCGTTACCATACTGTTGCCTGGAAAATAATGTACATTGAAAAAATGTGAATCAAAATGAAGTACAAACACGATTATATATTACTTTTATCGCATTTGCCACAAAAAATAAATAATAAATAATAAATTCCTTTTAAACTGGTGTTTAAACTTCAATGTCAGGAATGAAACACTTAATTTATTTTTCATCAGTCATCTGAGCTTTCATGAGAGACTTGTGTTGACACCACGCTGTTGTGATTTTGGAACGGCTGTGGCATAAGTTATTGATCTGGGAAATATATTATAAAATGTTTCCAAGTACACCCAGTAATGCGCTCACGTACCCCTAGGAGTATGCGTACCTCCGAATGGGAAACACTGGTCAAGCATGTGATTTTGTTTGTTGCCCAAGTGGTCGAGATGAGCAAACAAATGTCACAGAAAAGTTCCTGAAGTCCATCTGTTTAAAAAGCTCCTCATCATGTCTCAGGGTGAGAATTTGTTTTAAGAGTGTTCCATCCATCCATCCATCCATCCATCCATCATGGGGACAAGATTACAGAATGAAAAAGAAATGAAAGAATACTATAGAGCAAAACCCCACTTATAGGTTTTGTGGCGTTCAAACATTCACCTATTCACAGTTTTTGGGGGCGGGGGTGTTATCCTCCATTATTCCTCGCACATTTGCAATTTTCTGTATTGTGGCAAAAAATGTTTTGTATTTTTGTGGCAAATCGCTGTCTACAAAATGTATGATCTCTCTATTGTATCGTCGCGTCTCTAAATGAGATGATGCAGGAAATGTGACTTTTGACAAAAAATACACACAAAACAACTAGTTGCTCACTCAAACTTCTGCGGGCAAACTTCACACTTACTTACTCTGTTCACAGTCCCCAACTTGCTCATTCAATCACAAATCTGACAGCAGTAGCGCTAGATTTGTTCGCGACAGTCAGCAGAATAAGACGTATGCGCCTACGTCTGCGCCTACGTCTGCGTTGGCGAGTTTCACCAAACTCGGATTTCACACAGAATCAAAATATGTTGAATCATGAAAAACAGTTCAGCGGAACATCACTCCATCTGTCTATGACCACCATGTTGTGATTGCTACTGCACGGATCCAGCAGTATTGGGTCAGTAAAGACCGAAGCGCTAAGCACTGTTGCGCCAGCAGCCTACCAAGCAATTACATTACTTTGCGAACAGCACAGACGCCCAGTGTTGCTCAACTACTGCGCTCTGCTCTGCGGTCAAATGCTCATAGGTTTACACCTTACTGAACCACGATAGTAATTCGTCATCATCATCATCGTAATTTCATTTACTTTTAGGGGAGTCACAGTTATTCACACAAAATCACTATTCACGTTCAGGCTTGGTCACCATTCCCTATGTGCTGATGGGGTTTACTGTATAAATTGCCAAACATCGCCACCACCACCACCTATTTGTCTCAGAGATCACTCAGCATCATAAAGTGAATAAAATATTTCACATGCAATATATATAAATTCAGTTGAAGAAATTCTACATCATTGTGTGTATTACAGTAACATACAAAAGTATTTTGACAGTTCTAATGCTACCAATTTAGTGCAGATGTGGCACAACAACACATTTGTTAAGCACTGTACATTTAATAGAATTTTGCATCCACCTTCTTGACTTACGGCCTTCCAAGAACAAATAAAAACTTCTCAATAGAAGTGAGGGTTTGAAAATGCTGGTGAATTCCTGTAATAATTCTCGGGCTACATCAAAGCCTACAGACATCCATCCATCCATCCATTTATCCATCCATCCATCCTTCCATCTATTCTCTAATCCGCTTATCCTCACAAGGGTCGCGGGCGTGCTGGAGCCTATCCCAGCTGTCTTCAGACAGTAGGCGGGGGCTACCCTGAACTGGTTGACAAACAACCATTCACTCTCACACTCACACTCAATTTAGAGTGTTTCATTGACTTGCCATGCATGTTTTGGGAATGTGGGAGGAAACCGGAGTACACGGAGAAAACCTACGCAGGCACGGGGAGAACATGCAAGCTCCACATGGGAAGAACGGATCCAGAATCTAACCTCCACACTGTGAGGTGGACGTGCTAACCAGTCGACTATCGTGCCGCCCGCCTACGGACAATGTCTGTTAAAATTTCCGAGCAAGGCAATTGAAAAACCCTTTACTGATCCTCTCACAAAGTTGAAGATTTCGGATTTCCCCATTGCACCCCAATTACTCAAGTAGGTTGGCATGCAAAGTGACCCATTCCACTGCTCACAAGATCAAACAAGTTGTAAGAAGAAAGGAAGTGAAATCCACGGCCGCCGTGAGTCACACTTGGTTCCGCAAAATGAAACCCTAGATTGTCATCTCAACGTGTTCCTCATAAGACTTATTCCTACGCTGACATACATATATTGTGTCGCTTATCCGTTTTCATCCCTTGATCCAATAAAGAAGCAGCTGCTTGTTTGTATTGTACAGCCATTAGGGCGGAGAATCCACAACAAGGCTGTCTTTAATTCCACAGTGGAGGAGGTAATTAACAATGGGAATGAAGGTAGATGTGCTTGCGTACTTTATGATATGCATTACAAACGATCTGGTTCACTTGGTGACAGTGATGATGATGCGGTATTTAATCTTTGCAGAGTAAATACTGTCATTTTCTCACACATTTCTTTGATCGCTATAGCAACAGAGGGGTAATTCCACATAAGCCTGTTAGTCATGGTTGGATATAGGTGTGGAATTTGAACGGTCAATAACTTATAAACACAAAACGCTGTTGGACTTTTTTATAAGAAAAAAAAATGGGAGTCAGTAGTTACCTCTGTGAAGCAGTGCAATGTTTATTCATCTGTGCTGCATGATTCGTGTTGACTTTTGCATAGAGGTGGGGGTCAGGCAATTGTAAATAGGTCTAAAAAGTGAGTGTAAGACAAGTACAGCAGCCCTCTATTAAAACAATGTTCCCTTCCTTAAGACAAATTCATACTGTATGCAAGTCATAACGTATCATCGAGGTTACCACAAAATTCTAGTCATATCAAATATACAGTAAGCATTTTATAAAAAAAAAAAAAAACACTTCTAGGTTATAACTATAAACCGAACAAAAGAAAAACGTCAGGAACCGAGCATGATTTCTAGTGCCGCAGGTTTTTCGTACTGGAACCCGTACCAGTTGATATGATCAATATCTAACAAACAGAAAATTACGACACAGTGTGTTACATAATGGGTTTTTTTTTTTTAATAGCTTTGATTTTTTTTTCCACTTAAAGCACTTTTCCTACATCAAGTCAAACAATTTCCAGTGCAAAAGAAGAATTGTGAGTGTCAGGTCAGTGTCTAATTGGCAGTTTTTCTTCTCCTTCACAAGAATGTCTGCTTTCCCTGGACAAACAAGCCCACTCCTGGCAGACGGTGTTGTCAGAGTGGAAAATGTATATGCTCTGAAAGTGGGGATGATTCTTGCACACTATATCTCGTCGTCATGTTTGATAGCATTGGCAGAGTATCCCTCACATTCCAATAACCTGCTCACTGGATTCACTTAAGTAGATGGCAGACCTTTGTAAAGCTATACCTCATCTTGAACCTTCTCTGTGATGCTGAAGAATGTTCTCGTCATATTTCAAATAGCTCCTCAAGGGCAGAGAGCTCTGGCTTCTCCTGGAAACAAGAAGAAAAATCATAGTCAGGTTACATGCCATCGAGTTAATTTTGGTCTGAAATTGAATTTGGGAAGGCGGGGCCAGGATTTCTTTCGATATATTTATTTTACAAGTCTTGCTCCCGCAGCTGTCCAGTCTTCATCTGCTCAGGTTAAGCTTTATCTGTTACTCTCAATCTTTAGCTGTCTTTTATCTAGCTACATCATCTTAAGAAGCTAGACTAATATCTTAAGTAAGCATTTCATGGATGCCAGTTTAGCTCACCACAATATGCACAGACTGTATTAGTTGCAGCTATGTTCACAAACAAAGCATTTGGTTGCATGTAAAGCTGTACCTGTTGAAATCCCAGACACGGCGCCATCTCCGATACTCTTGGATGAAGCAAAGTCTGGGTGTGAGTTTGAATTTGTAAAGGATGTGAAGTTCAGTCCCCAGTTCCAGTGGTGACGTTTAGCCTACTTATTCTTCAAATTTAGGTCAGTATCATAATGTGTAAGCAGTGTGTGCATGCTATATGAAAGTGTCTTTGATCCACTGTGCCAAAAATGTCTTCCACTGTTGTCAAAAAGGAAAACAGACATAAACAAGCCTCTGCTCATAACACAAGATTGATGATCGCTGTCAGCTACATTCACATGCTCTTTAGTAAACAACCCAAACTGCAATGTCTGGCTTAGCTTCACGGAGACTGAGTTGTTGTTGTTGTTTGTGTGTGTGTGTGTGTGTGTGTGTGTGTGTGTGTGTGTGTGTGTGTGTGTGTGTGTGTGTGTGTGTTTGTCTGTGTCTGGATCCATTGCTCATTGCTGCGGTCTGTAAGTGGATGCCTACTGTATATTTTCCCCAAGTTGAAAAATCCCACTCATGCACGCAGGGAGACCTGACTTTTTCGTAAGCTGGTGGCTTGGATGCAGTTCAGGGGAGTGTGCTGAGATGAGATCCAAACGTTCTCCCTCAGCATATAGAAAAATATTACAATAACATCTGCTATCATAACTTGTGTGGATGGATCCGGTGTCAGCTCTGCGAATGATGGACAAGACTATTGTGGAGGGAATATTTGTACTTGAATTGGAGCGATTTACAAAATAGACCATCTATGTTTAGGTGGTGAAACCATTTCTAAAACAGAGGAGGGTGCTTCCCAAACCGTCTTTCTCCCACAAACAACGCAGTCCTTT